ATATTATATTATTATTATTATTAGTATTATTAGTATTATTAGTATTATTATTATTATTATTATTATTATTACTATTATTATTATTATTATTACACACACAGTAAAGGTATGTATTCATTTTAGTTACATCAAAACTGTATAGCATGCCACTTATCCTCTCTCCCTTGTCCTCTGAAGTATAATATCAGTCACAGTGGTGTAGGCCATTTTTTCATATTGTCCTTGCGTTCAGCCCAGCCCAGTATCCAGTTCAGTCCAGCAGGCCTCGTTCAGTCCAGTCCTCCGTCCAGCTTTAGTAGTCTTCCGTTCAGTCCGTAGGCCTCGTTCAGTCCAGTAGTCCTCCGTTCAGTCCAGTAGTCCTTCGTTCAGTCCAGTAGTCCTCGTTCAAGTTTAGTAGTCTTCCGTTCAGTCCAGTAGTCTTCCGTTCATCCAGTAGTCCTTCTGTTCAGTCCAGTAGTCCTCTCAGTTCAGTTTAGTAGTCTTCCGTTCAGTCCAGTAGTCTTCCGTTCAGTCCAGCAGTCTCCGTTCAGTCCAGTAGTCTTCTGTTCAGTCCAGTAGTCCTCGTTCACCAGCAGGCCTTCGTTCAGTCCAGTAGTCCTCCGTTCAGTTTAGTAGTCTTCCGTTCAGTCCAGTAGGCCTTCGTCTCTGTCCAGTAGTCTCCTCGTTCAGTCCAGTAGTCCTCCTGTTCAGTCCACAGTAGTCCTCGTTCAGTTTAGTCTTCCGTTCAGTCCAGTAGTCTTCCGTTCAGTCCAGTAGTCCTTCGTTCAGTCCAGTAGTCTTCTGTTCAGTCCAGTCCTCCGTTCAGTTTAGTAGTCTTCCGTTCAGTTCCAGTAGTCTTCCGTTCAGTCCAGTAGTCCTCCGTTCAGTCCAGTAGTCTTCTGTTCAGTCCAGTAGTCCTCCGTTCAGTCCAGCAGCAGGCCTTCCGTCAGTCCATAGTCCTCCGTTCAGTTTAGTAGTCTTCTGTTCAGTCCAGTAGTCCTCTCGTTCAGTCCAGTAGTCCTCGTCTGCTTAGTAGTCTTCTGTTCAGTCCAGTAGTCTCCGTTCAGTCCAGTAGTCCTCCGTTCAGTTTAGTAGTCCTCCGTCTGGTTTAGTAGTCTCTGTTCAGTTTAGTAGTCTTGGTTCAGTCCAGTAGTCCTCCGTTCAGTTTCAGCAGTCTGTTCAGTCAGTAGTCTCCGTTCAGTCCAGTAGTCCTCCTCCGTTCAGTTTAGTAGTCCTCCGTTCAGTCTAGTCTTGTTCAGTCCAGTAGTCCTCCGTTCAGTCCAGTAGTCCTTCGTTCAGTCCAGTAGTCCTCCGTTCAGTCCAGTAGTCTTCGTTTCAGTCCAGTGTCCTCCGTTCAGTTTAGTAGTCTTCTGTTCAGTCCAGTAGTCTTCCGTTCAGTTCAGTAGTCTTCCGTCCAGTCCAGTAGCCCTGCCCAGTCCAGCAGTCCTCCGTTGGCTTAAGGTCTTCCGTTCAGTCCAGTAGTCTTCTGTTCAGTCCAGTAGTCTTCTGTTCAGTCCAGTAGTCCTCCGTTCAGCTAGTAGTCTTCTGTTCAGTCCAGTAGTCTCCGTCAGTCCAGCAGTCCTCCGTTCAGTCCAGTAGTCTCTCCGTTCAGTCCCAGTAGTCCTCCGTTCAGTTTAGTAGTCTCCGTTCAGTCCAGTAGTCCTCCGTTCAGTCCAGCAGTCTCGTTCAGTCTAGTAGTCTTCCTCGTTCAGTCCAGTAGTCCTCCGTTCAGTTCAGTAGTCTCTGTTCAGTCCAGTAGTCCTCCAGTCCCAGTAGTCCTCCGTTCAGTCCAGTAGTCTCCGTTCAGTCCAGCAGTCCTCCGTCTGTAGTCCAGCAGTCCTCCGTTCAGTCCAGTAGTCTTCCGTTCAGTCCAAGAGTCTTCCGTTCAGTCCAGTAGTCTTCCGTTCAGTCCAGTAGTCTCCGTTCAGTCCAGTAGCCTCCGTTCAGTCCAGTAGCCTCCGTTCAGTCAGTAGTCTTCCGTTCAGTCCAGTAGTCCTCCGTTCAGTCCAGTAGCCTCGTTCAGTCCAGTAGTCCTCCGTTCAGTTTAGTAGTCTCCGTTCAGTCCAGCAGTCCTCGTTCAGTCCAGTAGTCTCCGTTCAGTTCAGTAGTCTCCGTTCAGTCCAGTAGTCTTCCGTTCAGTCCAGTAGTCCCCGTTCAGTCCAGCAGTCTCTGTTCAGTCCAGCAGTCTCCCGTCTGAGTCCAGTAGGCCCTCTCTGTTCAGTCCAGTAGTCTTCTGTTCAGTCCAGTAGTCCTCCGTTCAGTCCAGTAGTCCTCCGTTCAGTCCAGTAGTCTTCTGTCTCAGTCCAGTAGTCCTCCGTTCAGTCCAGTAGTCTTCGTTCAGTCCAGCAGTCCCGTTCAGTCCAGTAGTCTTCGTTCAGTCTAGTCTTCTGTTCAGTCCAGTAGTCCCTCCGTTCAGTCCAGCAGTCTTCGTTCAGTCCAGTAGTCTTCTGTTCAGTCCAGTAGTCCTCCGTTCAGTCCAGTAGTCCTCCGTTCAGTCCAGTAGTCTTCTGTTCAGTCCAGTAGTCCTCCGTTCAGTCCAGTGCCTCCGTTCAGTCCAGTAGTCTTCCGTTCAGTCCAGTAGTCTTCGTTCAGTCCAGTAGTCTTCTGTTCAGTCCAGTAGTCCTCCGTTCAGTCCAGTAGTCCTCCGTTCAGTCCAGTAGTCTTCTGTTCAGTCCAGTAGTCCTCCGTTCAGTCCAGTAGTCCTCCGTTCAGTCCAGTAGTCTTCAGTCCAGTAGTCCTCCGTTCAGTCCAGTAGAGTCTTCTGTTCAGTCCAGTAGCCTCCGTTCAGTCCAGTAGTCTCTGTTCAGTCCAGTAGTCTTCTGTTCAGTCCAGTAGTCCTCCGTTCAGTCCAGTAGTCTTTCTTTCCAGTAGTTCTTGTTCAGTCCAGTAGTCCTCCGTTCAGTCCAGTAGTCTTGTTCAGTCCAGTAGTCCTCCGTTCAGTCCAGTAGTCTTCTGTTCAGTCCAGTAGTCCTCCGTTCAGTCCAGTAGTCTTCGTTCAGTCCAGTAGTCTTCCGTTCAGTCCAGTAGTCCTCCGTACAGTCCAGTAGTCCTCCGTTCAGTTCCAGTAAGAACTACCGTACAGTAGTTAGCTTCTTTAATTAACAGGTAAATATCCCTTCAAGAGTGGGTTTGTTGACTCCTATCAACCATGTCCTTCTTGTCAGCCATTATATCAGTCAGTGTCAGCCATACATCAGTCAAAGTCAGCCATAATCGTCAGTGTCAGTCATACATCAGTCAGTTCAGCCATATTCAGTCAGTGTCAGCCATATATCAGTCAGAGTCAGCTATATATCAGTCAGTGTCAGCTATATATCAGTCAGTGTCAGTCTATACATCAGTCAGTGTCAGCCATATATCAGTCAGTGTCAGCCATATATCAGCCAGTGTCAGCCATACATCAGTCGTGTCAGCCATATCAGTCAGTAGTCATACATCAGTCAGTGTCAGCCATATATCAGCTCAAGTCAGCCATATATCAGTCAGTGTCAGCCATATCGCAGTGTGTAGCCATATATCAGTTGGTCAGCCATATATCAGTAAGTACCATATATCAGTCAGTGTCAGCCATATATCAGTCAGTGTCAGCCATACATCAGTCAGTGTCAGTCATACATCAGTCAGTGTCAGCCATATATCAGTCAGTGTCAGCCATATATCAGTCAGTGTCAGCCATTATATCAGTCAGTGAAACAACCAGAGATCAAAATGTTTTCAGTGTCTGGGTCAACCGGTCAACCTACTGTACTGTTACCGGGAGATTTATGTCAAGAACAAGTACAATACCGGTCACAGGTCACTAACACTCACACAAGGTCACTAACACTCACACAAGGTCACTAACACTCACACAAGGTCACTAACACTCACACAAGGTCACTAACACTCACACAAGGTCACTAACACTCACACAAGGTCACTAACACTCACACAAGGTCACTTACGCTCACATAAGGTCACTAACACTCACACAAAGGAACTTAGACAAACACTATTAAAATTTGAACCACATTTCATCAAAAATTACAGAGAATATTTAGTCTGGAATCACATATGACTCTCAGTAAGTCTTGTGTCAGATATGGAAGTCAGTTATATAAAGGTTTCACTATATGGTAACTGTTCTTGTTAACTGCTCTGTCTGTCTATCTGTCTGTCTGTCTATTTACAATACATTCCTTTCCTCACCATTTAGCATAAACTGGGGTGGGTCAGTGGGTAGTGGGTGAACAGTAACTTGTGGTGGGTTACGATAGGTTTAGGTAGTGGACGATGAGGTGTTATGCCTTGAGTGGGTTGGTGAGGCAAGGAATGTGTCTTCGTATCTCAGGTAAATAAACTTACAGCTTATTTATATCTATAATAAACCTTCACAGACACACCACACCTCTCTATCTGTGTGTGTGTGTGTGTGTGTGTGTGTGTGTGTGTGTGTGTGTACCTCACCATCAAGTCGTCCACTCACTCTGTTCCTCCTCCAGCCTTGTCTGTTTGTGTATCACTCGGGGGTAAACACTGGACAGGAAGGCTAGTCTGGTTCTAAAGCTGACATTATGCACATTATACCCGCCACTGATCGCGTGATAATGAACAGTGATCGGTGTATGATGAATACCGTGTGTTAACTTAAGGTACATCAATGTGGGGGATATTTTCAGTCACTTGCGTTGGGGGAGAGATGAGTGTAACAGGCACAGTCCCCTTCACTAGTACGTTTACAGGGGCTCGTCAGGTTTCGTGCAGTATGGCAGCGCTGTGTTTGTTTACATTCGAGAGAAGGAAACTCCCAATAGTAAACATACTATGACATCAATATATAACAATATTAAAACAAATTTCAATGTAATGATCTGTGGGAATGTTTACATGACGAGCCCCTGTAAACCCACTGGTATTCATACAACTCTCAACTTTACCTCCTCACTCTCCACCTCGCCATCATAATATACATGGACCAATCTACCCACAAGCGGTATACACTTGCCTATAAGAGTATTGCACAAGGGAGACGGTCAACTTACCCACGAAGGTATAACCACGGTCGGTAAACTGACTCCACAGTGGCGCCTCCATCGACTCACTCTCCAGGGTCAAGTTATATCCTGCTTCTCCCAGCTCCTCGAACATCTCAAGTGGCGGCTCCGGATCCGTGGGCAGCTTGTTGCACTTCCAGTATTTCTTTTTGCACTGTCTTCTCTTCTTCTCTTTGGGGAATCTTCTCTCGTTTTCCCCATGGACGGCGGCGCCCCAGTTAGGAGAGTTGGCGGTGTCATTGAGCAGGACGTTTGTGAGGGAGGGAACCCGGCGTGAGGTATCATCCAGCAAATGCGGTGTCTGGTACTCCTGGCTGATGATGGCAGTGCGGGGGTAGTAGTGGTAGCCGTAGTAGTCGGCCACGCAGAAGAAGCAGAAGAAGAGCACAAAGACGCCCCCCAGAAGGCTACAGAGGCGGCGTGGCAGGTGCATGCCGCCGCCCCCCCAACAGCAGCAGCGTGATAGCCTTCCCCTGTAGGCTTCTGCAGCTCCTTTGGTCACCACCACCACCATGCACAACACTCACCTCTCACCATAACTCTCCCATGCCTCTCTTTCCTCTCTCGTCCTCCTCACATCTCCCTCTTCTTCTCCTTCCCCTACAGCTGCATGAGGCCTTAATCTCGCAAGCAACAATCTGGAAAAGTAAAATGATCACGAGTTATAAATCACGACACAAAAAAGTTGGATATAAACATTTCTCATTTCAGTTATTTTTAGTGTTGGCGGCGGCGGAGGACCCAGGCTGCGCGCCATCCCCGGGCCGCGCGCCTTCCCTGGGCCGAGCGCCACCCCAGGGCCGCGCGCCTTCCCTGGGCCGCGCGCCTTCCCTGGGCCGCGCGCCACCCATGGGCCGCGCGCCACCCCTGGGCCGCGTGCCACCCCTGGGCCGCGCGCCACCCCTGGGCCGCGCGCCACCCCTGGGCCGCGTGCCACCCCTGGGCCGCGCGCCACCCCTGGGCCGCGTGCCACCCCTGGGCCGCGTGCCACCCCTGGGCCGCGTGCCACCCCTGGGCCGCGCGCCACCCCTGGGCCGCGTGCCACCCCTGGGCCGCGCGCCACCCCTGGGCCGCGCGCCACCCCTGGGCCGCGTGCCACCCCTGGGCCGCGCGCCACCCCTGGGCCGCGTGCCACCCCTGGGCCGCGTGCCACCCCTGGACCGCGTGCCACCCCTGGGCCGCGCGCCACCCCTGGGCCGCGTGCCACCCCTGGGCCGCGCGCCACCCCTAACATTACGGAGCCTTATTAGTAATAGTGTGTCACGGTAATGCCTAAATTTTATATAAGTATTATACACGTAAATACTTAACTTACACATAAGTACAGTTAAGTACAGGAGGTCTTGGGGACAAGTTTTACAATACTCGTACACACACACACACACACGGGCGTCCGCCACACACGTGCGGTATTTAACAATTAACTGAGTTTAAAAATAGCAAATTGTTTTATATCAACATAGAAAAGTTTCAACAAGTGAAAATATAAACTATGATTTAGGGAAACATTAGAGGAGGCCCACCCCACCTCACCCCACCCCACCCCACCCCACCCCACCCCACCCCACCCCACCCCAAAGAAGCAGGAACAGATGTTATCACGAGAGGAAGAGGAGGCAAGGGGTGAGGGACGCTCTGCCCCCCCCCATACACTGTCACCCCCCTACACATTGCTTACACGGAGAATGTCTCTGTTAAAATAATAATAATACTAATAATAATAATTTCTAAAACCGTCTAAAAAAAATAAAAATAATAAAATAAATAATGCAAAAAACGCTATCCACTCCAAAGAAAAATCCAATACTATCCACACGGGGTAATCTATCAACCATCCTTATCCACATAAAAAAATCCACAATATAGTTATCCATTCTGAGGAAAACCTAAAAAAAAAAAAATATCTCAACAAACTAACGTAACCATCCTATCCACATCATGAAGGACTTGACGCTGCAACTATCCACACATTATCCACAAAACATTATCACTGTATTATCCATCAAAAGATTCCACCCTAAGCATCCTCCCCAAAAAAACACCCTGCCCACTAAGTCACCAGCCAATCAAATCGCCCGAAATCAAGACAGCTCGTCCCACTACGCCAACCAGTGTTAAGTGATTGGCACAGACAGACAGACAGACTCCAGCTGAAACAGTAATGTATTCAGCACTGCCGCCTCCACACTCTCTCTCTCTCTCTCTCTCTCTCTCTCTCTCTCTCAGTACATCTCTATACCTCATCATCATTCATCTTTTCATCCATTTCTTATTCATCCATTTCTTGTCCATCCATTCAGTCATCACTCATCTATCAGGTGGTGTGCCAGTCAGTGGTGTGGTGTCAGACAGGGTGGCTGTGCTGGCTGGCCTGGCTGGCTGTCAGTCTGGCTGTCATCCAACCATCTCGTCAGTGGTACAGCGTGATTCATAAGTCCGGAATGGCAGGAATATTAATTTGGTAATTATATTATATAAACTACGAGCCACACACACACACACGCACACACCCACCCACCCACACACACACACACACACACACACACACACACACACACACACATGATAACATAAGTTTAACACCACATTGTTGAGGGTCCGCAGAATGCAATCACGAACCAATGTGTCTAGATCGATGTGTGTGTGTGTGTGTGTGTGTGTGTGTGTGTGTGTGTGTGTGTGTGTGTGTGTGTGTGTGTGTGTGTGTGTGTGTGTGTGTGTGTGTCTGTCTGTCTGTCTCTGTGTGTCTGTATGTCTGTAAGTCAATATCTGTCTGTCTGAGTATGTGTCCGTTTGGTACCAATACCACTAGCGTCTCCTGGTATCCCTTTGAACTTTTCCGATAAAGTGATTTGCCCGGAGCCAACACAGGGCTAGTTTATTGTGTGCTGTTACTTACCTGTGCCAGCCTAATTAGTGGGTCACGTGTGTACGTCAAGTGTTAATAGCGTGTTTACATGTGTACACCTCCCCACACACATACTCCTTCCCTCCCACACACCCCCTCCCACTCCCCTCCCACACACTCCTCTACCCCACACACTCCTCCCCTCCCACACACTCCTCCCCTCCCACACACTCACCCCTCCCACACACTCCTCCCCTACCACACTTTATACCTTCCCTGTAATCAGTGGAGTTCTGTCTTCCCGTATCACCTGGTTTAGACCCCTCGTAATGATAGCCATATGTCTGAGTGATGTCTGAGAGTTTGTCTGATGTCTGAACGTACATTATCTGAACATATATCATAGTTATGTCTGTTTGTATGTTTTTGGGACGTCTTAACGTGTGGTATAGTTAATACCGAAAGTATGTCTGAATGTATGTCTGAGTGTTGTGAGTGTGTCTTGATGACGGCCACGTGTCTGAGTGAACGTTGAACATGTCTTAGTCATTCTCTAAATATACAGTATGTCTTTGTCATGTGACTTAATGTATGTACAGTGTCTAGTAATGTCTAAATGTATACTCTACATATGTGTGAATGTTTATCGCTGACGTCTGAACTTATGTCTGAGTGATGTCTGCTTCACAATAACTATTTCCAGTTCCGGAATAATCAGAGATACAACTTAAGGCACCCAGAGCTACTAAGACCACCCCCCCCATGCGCTCATCTCAGTCCCAGACCTCCATAAAATATCACTGTGTGAAGGTGTGGAACAACTTACCCCCACCCATCCCAGCAAAGACTACGCTCCCTTCCTTTAAATCATCTCTTAAAAAATATCTATTGTCTAAGTATTAATATTTCTTGTAACACCTACTATATTTACAGTACCTGCTTTTATTGTACCATCAAAACCGTTTTATCGGAAATTTTACTCATCTTTTTCAATTCCACTGTAATTTATGTATATATAAATAAATAAAAAATTAACAAAATAATAATAATAATAATAAATAAATAAAACTAATAAATATCGAAATGATAACATTATGAGATGTTCTTATTACCACCATGCTATTGTACTATTCCAGATGATACTAAATGTTACATAATACTTCCTTGAGATAAATGTATAGTATATATCAGGTGCAGCTCAGGTCCTCAACTGGCTCACCCATGTTAATATTGTTATTATTATCCACTCTGTATCTGTGTTTTTCTGGTTAAATAAACTGTTTCAATTCAATTCAATGTTTAAACGTATGTCTAGGCAAGTAAGTGTCTAGTGAGGAGATCGGCCACACCACTTGACTCATCTCAAATATTATTGATAAATTCTGGTAAGTGTGCTCGAGTAACCTCCTGCAGTGTAAAGGCTAGACTAGGCACTGCTGCCTGTATACCTATCCGAACCTACCTAAACCTAACCAAACCTAACCTAACCTCAACGAACGTAACCTAATTTAAGTTGAACCTAACTAAAAATAACGTAATGTAACTCAGATTAACAAAATTAGTCTGGTAACTGCCGCTAAGTTCAGGAATCTTGTGGATTTAGTGTGAATGTAATCCTTGGTGGTGTAGGTTAAGAGAAGCATCCCCCGGCATGACCTTCTGAGCATCTTAACCCAGCTGGACTGATAGAAGATGGCGTAGGGGATTAAGAGAGATTTTTATACCCTGATTTGTGAGTAGATTATTATTAACCAAATGTCTTGTGAGGTTACCTGCAAGATATCCTGACTGTAGGGTGTGTGTCCTGGGTCCCATCTAAGACGACCCACCCAGGACGACCCATCTAAGACGACCCACCCAAGACGACCCACCCAAGACGACCCACCCAAGACGACCCACCCAAGACGACCCACCCAAGACAACCCCCTCAAGACGACCCACCCAAGACAACTTATCACGACTTTCGACGACCCCCCCCAGGAAGCTCACTGACCTTTTACTGGCGTCGGTCACTGGTATGGATCGATCCAGAGGGCGTCTTGACTACCCTGTGAATTGTTGATCTGCTTACAAAGATCAATACTGAGCTGCTGAACCCACGCCTGATGACCCATCCACCCACCCACGCCTGTAACCCACCCACCCACCCTCGCCTGATGAACCTAAGGCGAGTGACCTATTGAACACAACCACGCCCTCTACAGACACCCACGCCCTCTACACACACCCACGCCCTCTACACTCACCCACGCCCTCTACACACACACCCCACGCCCTCTACACACCCACGCCCTCTACACACACACCCCGTTCTCTACACACACCCACGTTCTCTACACACACACACACACACACACACACGCGCCCTCTACACACACCCACGCCCTCTACACACACACCCACGTTCTCTACACACAGACACACACCCACGCCATCTATACACCCACGCCATCTACACTCACCCACGCCCTCTACACTCTCATTGTTAATAATAATTTTACATTATACTATTTTAGTGTCATTATTATTATTATTATTATTATTATTTTTTATTATTATTATTATTATTATTATTATTATTATTATTACTATTATTATTATTATTATTATTATTATTATTATTATTATTATACAAATAGCAAGTTATTTCGCCATACCTCACATTCTAGGAAATATATATATATCTCTCTCTCTCTCTCTCTCTCTCTCTCTCTCTCTCTCTCTCTCTCTCTCTCTCTCTCTCTCTCTCTCTCTCTCTCTCTCTCTCTCTCTCTCTCTCTCCACAACATAGTACAGTAGTTATTAAAATAATTATACACTCATTGTCATAACTATATTAAAACAGATGTGAAAAATGTACACGTGAATAACACAACTCACACAGCTATAAATAAGCAGACAAATACGCGGACTCTTAACACAGAAACAGTAACAACTGCAACAAAAGCTTATGTAAGAATTTAGTGTACTGTTTTGAGTGTTCCTTTGATTATAATCTCTGGTGGTATAGACGAATACATACATACATACATACATACATATATACATACATACATACATACATACATACATACATACATACATACATACATACATACATAAATCCATACATACATACATACATACATACATATATACATACATACATACATACATACATACATACATACATACATACATACATACATACATAAATCCATACATACATACATACTTTTATCGCTTCACTAGGCATCGCAATTTGTCCCTGAGCCGAGACACTTGACTGTTTAGCTATATGACACCATAGAGGGCAGCACAGTTAGGACCTTCCCCGGCATGTTAGGATTCAATACTGGATGATGATTGGAAGTACACCACGTCCTGCCAGGTATTAACTGTGTGGGAACTAACTCTCTCCATAGCCTTCACTCAATAGTTGACGTGTTTACTTCCTCCGTATATTTGTGATGAAGATTTCGGTCCCACATTAGTCCCCGTTTTGGTCCAGTTAGGCGCCGCTCCACCAGGGTTTTGTTGTTGGGAAAATTTGGGTGATGATTGAGGAAAGGTGTGGGGAGCTGATACTGCCTCCTTGAGACTAGCGTACGTCTTGCCGGTTGCCCTGTTCTTGCATCTTTCCAGTAAGCCTTGCAGCTACAGCAATGGTGCATTGATGCGTGTCTATCTCGAGCATCATTTCTAAAGCTTATTAGTTGAATATGCAGGTCCATATCTCCTCTACTAATTTCTGTAGAGCCCTCCCACCATTTGCTTTCACAATTGGACCATTCATCAGTCGCACACAACGAGTAATTGGGCCCTAACTATGGGCCTCGTAGACACAACAGATATTAGGCCCATATATACAACTGCATCACAGTTGGCTTATGGTATGGTTTCATACCCGCGGATGGTGGACAAGTCTGGAAACATCCACTGCACGTTTGTGTATGGAAGAGCAAGACTGACACCCCTGAAACAGCAGACCATCCCTCGGCTGGAACTCTGTGCAGCCGTATTAGCCGCAAATGCCGACAAATTAATAAGAAAAGAGCTGAGCAGTGTGCTTGTCCTACAATATATTTCCAATACCCATCGGCGCTTCCATACATTCGTTGCAAATAGAATCGCTGCCATACACGAGTTGTCGAATGCATATCAGTGGCGCCATTCGGGCACAGATTTAAACCCAGCTGATGATGCAACCTGAGGACTATCAGCTGAAGAAATGCACGAGAAGAGGAGGTGGATACAGGGACCTGGATTCCTTTGGCAGTCTGAAGAATATTGGCCAGTAAGACCAAAGCTGGCGCAGGAACTGGTATCATCCGGAGGTAAAACAGAGCGTGACCACAATGATCACAAACATCGACAAAAAAGAGAAGTCCATGCAAAGGCTTTGGTCTAGATATTCATCATGGCATTGGTTGCAAAGGGGGGTAGACTGCTTCAGACCCTTCCTCGTTAAACAGGCGTGGAAGCACCATAAGCACCACCTGCTTGACCACACATGCCATACACCTCGAAATGTTGACCTCGCTGATACCGACGTCTTCCTAAATGCAGTGACACGGTTCTCAGCTCGCAGGGGAATTCCTGGACGCATTCGCTCTGACAATAGAACCAACATGGTCAATGCTGACAAGGAGCTCCGAGCAGCAGAACGGAGCTGGGAGAATAGTAAATACGTTAAAAACACACACAGATCAATACACGCAATATACGTAATGGAAGTATTAAACCAAGACTATCCATTAATAACAGTCGTTGGCTTTGTTACCCTTTACTAAACACCTCCTCCCTCCCTCCCTCCCCCCAAAAAATCATCCCTCACGCACGAGAAGAAAACAACACCCATCTCTCAAATCAGAATATAAATGAACTCAGTAACGAAAATAAACGTCAGATTATTACCTCGCCGTTATAACATCAATTAAAGATAAGTTACGGGAGATAATAAAGTTTAATTTATCTGTTTGTTAAAGTTTGAATCATATCTTGTGAGTTAGGTTGAAGCTGGCTTGAGGTATCAGTCGGAGTCTCTTGTTATCGTGGGGAGGTAGAGGTGTGTGTCGGGGGGTCAACCAGAGAAGGATTGGATTCTCTTGAGGAAAGAATGTGAATCATTATGGAAAGGCTACAGATAAAGGATTGGAAGTCATTAAAGAGACTGACAAGCAGGTGATTGGACTTATACAAATAGAAGATTGGGAACTTGAAAACAAAATAATGGAATATAAAAAAAGATTCGAATCCAGTGAGAAAGGATTCAAATCCACTGAAAAAAGATTCGAACCCTTTGATTAAGGATTCGAACTGCGAAAAGATTCAGATCCAGCAAGTAAAGATTCGAATCCAGTTGGAAAATATTCGAATCCTCTAACAAAAGATTCGAATCCCCGGACAAAAATTCGAGCCCTGTAAGTAAAGATTCGAACCCTGTGTGAAAAGATTCGAATCCAGTGACACAAGATTCGAATCCGATTTGAAAAGATTCGAACCCAATGACAAAAGATTCGAACCTTGTGAGTAAAGATTCGAATCCAATGACAAAAGATTCGAACCAGAGAAGCAGGTCCGGCCAGAGGAACTACTTGGGCCAACTTGTACAAACACTGGTCGGGAAGTTATCAGTGAGACACCTGCTGACGAGCACACGAGGACAGGTGGGAGAGAACGAGGACAGGAAGAGGAGAGAAAGGGGAATAGATTACGATAGTTAGATACAGACGAAAAAAGAAATATAATGAGAAACCGTTAAAGAGAGAGATAATGAGAAAGTCAGAAAATGAGAAAAAAAAGAGAACGAGATTAGAGAAAAAGAACGAACGATTAAGGTTCTCTCTAATTAATTGAGATCTCTGAGCAATCCATTCCTCTCTCTCCTCTCTCTCTCTCTACGACACGCCCCCCAGATCAACACAATATGTTTCCTTATACTGTTCCTGGGTCCCACCCCTCCCCTGCCAGACCTCCCCTCCCCTCCCCTCCCCTGCCAGACACTCCCCTCCCCCCCTCCCTCCCCTGCCAGACCTCCCCCACTTCCCCTCCCTCCCCTCCCCTCCCCTCACCTCTCTTTGCCTCATCTCCCCCTCCCCTCCTCGCCCTGTACACCTCAAACATTCACACCTGGGACTTGTAGTGGTCAACCCGGCCCAGCGGACATAAAGGTACCTGCTATGAATATTCCCGTTCAATTAACCTAACCTAACCAAGCCCTAACCTAACTTTTACCTGTAGGTGTTTAATCATAAGCTAAGAGGAAGGACTAATCTTCAGGTGTCCTAAATTCCTCGTGAGTGAAGCTGTAAAAGCATTAAAAAAAATCACATCAAAATACCTGAGAGAATCTTAGCTAAATACGGTCACTTAAATGGTTTCTTTTTCTTTTGCTTCCTACGGTGAGCCGACGTAAGGACCTCTTAATCCGCTAACCAGTCCAATCTTGAGCTCATTCCCGAAGTCGTTCCAGTTGTTCTTGGTGTCCCTCCCCAGGTGCCTACCCCCAGGTGTGTGTCCCCGTGGTGTCTCCCCAGGTGTGCCCAGGTCTCCCCAGGTGTGTCCCCGAGTGTCTCCCCAGGTGTGTCCCCCGAGGTGTCTCCCCAGGTGTGTCCCCCAGGTGTCTCCCCAGGTGTGTCCCCAGGTGTCTTCCCCAGGTGTCCCCAGGTGTCTCCCCAGCGTGTCCCCCTCACAGGTTGAACACAAAGAACGTATCCCAAACATCTCCGCCAGTCCCTCATCAGCGTATGGTAGGTGCTTCCACAATAGCCCACACGATCTTACCTCTAACATGACCCTGCTGTGTTTGAGTGTCTCAGACTGTCTGCACACAGTTTCGTTATGGTGTCGTGGTTCTCTTCCTTAAACCACAACAGACCTCATCAGTGACAGGTACAATTCAGTGACCCATCGTTCATAATAACGGTGGCCAGGTGTTTAAAGACAGAAACTTCGTCCCTCTACCATTAGATGTTCAGTTCTCATAACCTCAGTCGTACGTACATTTGTTGTCAGACCACTCCTCCTCCTCCTCCAGCCAGCTCACCGTCGCCTCTGTGCTGTGTACAACTACTCCTACACATCGTCTGCGTCGTCCAGACTTGTGAGGTGTTGTGTTGTGTTCTACCCGTACAGTTCCTTCCTTCTCTTTTATCACCAATCGTCTTCTTCATAACAAAATCATAAGCGCAGCAAACAACATTAATATTATACTTTTTCGATATTTGATAACTATTAATTGTTCACTCAGTTCTTGTTATGTTCTCTGAGGAGGTGTATCAGCCTAGTGAACACAACACTCCCTAGTTGGAGTCACCCTGGCGACCACTGAGTGGGGTGTTGTGAGCTGACCCAGCTGCAGACAGGGACACTTACCAGTGGTAGTTTAAAGTGGGTCTCATTACTATGACTGCCCGTTAGGGACAGTGTGGAACCCACACTGTTCCTGTGGATGCAGCACACTGTATACTAAGTCTTCGGTACACAAGGAGGCAGCATGACCGGTACTGCACTCGACCGCCTTCACTTCACAACTTGTAAAATAAAGTACCCATTACAGCTGGGTAAACTGGGAGTGATCCGGAATCGAACCAGTGACCCTTAGGACAAGGAGGCAAAACTTGCATCCACTCAGTCACTGCACTCACTTAACGTTAAAGGTGGCAGAGAGCAGTACCAGCCATACTGTGTACCGAAGGCTTAGTGTACAGTGTGCTGTATCCACACTACACCTAACTGACCGTCACGCCTATGATCACGAACGCTGTATATTTAAATTGAAAAGGAACTTATTTTGTGAACTTGTGACAGGATCCCGTATAACTACTGATGACTTTGTTGGTGTCATACTTACAAGACAATATAGTAAAGTGTTACAGCTAGTGACCCTCCCCTCCTCAGAGCAGGATTACAGCAGGTCACACTCCTACCTGCTCCACCTGCTAGTGAACGCTGTCCTCTTTCCACTAACTCTACTCTGTGTTTGCTTTCAGTTTTACCATTCCACTCAGCCACCCACTGGTATATAAACTGTTTCTAGGTTAGGTTAGGTTAGGTTAGGTTAGGTTCTCTTCTTCAACATGATAATGTGTAATAGTTATCCGGACTAGTGATAGTAGATGTTTTAAAGCACTGTGACTGGTATAATACAAGATCTGTCCCGTCTTTAACGCCTCAACATACGGTCGTCTCAACAGAGTGCCTTGGGAAAACACAGCCCATTTCCACACTTGTTAAGGATGAGAAAAGTAGATTCCTTTGAGGTGAGTTAAGGATCTACCTCCCTCTGACTCTTCCTGGATACTGGCTGACACGACATCCTTCCTACCTGAGTATTGTACTATTTAAACAAAACAACTAAATTAAATCTTAACAATTCTTACCTGATTTATATCTTGTGATGGTTTGAAAATTTATAATATTTCTACATTATTTTTTGGGGGAGTTTTAGTTCAAGTTAACCCGTTCTATAAACTCTTTTACATAACCCCGGCAATATTGTTTTTAATCTAGACTCTGGACACCTTTTCCCACTGATGTGTATAGGTCAAGGGCCAAAGGTGGAGGTCACGAGGTCATGAGGTCACAGGGGAGAGGGTAGTGGTTAAATGTCATTCGGTCAGTTTTCATTTATTTACTCGTGATTTTCAGATTAGAGTTTAACCTCTCTCTCTCTCTCTCTCTCTCTCTCTCTCTCCTCTCTCTCTCTCTCTCTCTCTCTCTCTCTCTCTCTCTCTTCTCGCCTTTGTCGTATTTGCTTTAACTCTTCCTCCTTTCGTCTCTCTTACCGAACCTCAACTTTGTACCATAATCAATGTACCTGTCAGCACCTGGGCATTACTGTACCTTGACTGTAACTACCTGGTACCTGCCGTCTCCTGTCAGCAAATGGGCATTACTGTACCTGGCCTGTAACTTACCCTGGTACCTGTCAGCACCTGGGCATTGCTGTACCTTGACTGTAACTTACTGTACCTTGTCCTGGGGGTATACCGGTACATAGTGACCTGATCTCCCCACTACCACAACCTACCATTATCACACCTACCACCATTACCGCAACTACCACCATTACCACAACTACCACCATTACGCTACCACCATTACCACACACCATTACCAGCAACTACCACCATTACCGCAACTACCTTACCCAACTACCACCATTACCACCATACCATTACCACATACCACCATTACCACAACTACCAC